ACTCAGCCAGACGTATCACCACTCAGACAGGCGTATCACCACTCAGCCAGGCATATCACCACTCAGCCAGACGTATCACCACTCAGACAGGCGTATCACCACTCAGCCAGGCGTATCACCACTCAGCAAGAGTATCACCACTCAGCAGGTATATCACCACTCAGCCAGGCGTATCACCACTCAGCAGGGCATATCACCACTCAGCAGGCGTATCATCACTCATCCAGACGTATCAATACTCAGTCAAGAGTATCACCACTCAGCCACCACTGAGTGGTGAGGCTACATCACCACTCAGGCAACATATCACCACTCGCCGTTCACACTTCCTACGTTCAGATCGTTATCAGAGTCCGGCATTACAGTGGCTGTGCGTCATTCATCGTGCGAGCCTCTATTGAAGCAATCTGAAGCCGCGTCAAAGCTGCTAGAAAATTTAACAGTTTAAGCAGCGGGCGAAACCCAAAACTTCATTTCATTTCGGCGGGCGCGAGAAATGTCTTTTGTATCCTCGCCTAAGCCCGCATTTAATTTAAGTCTAAACCAGCGGCGTAAAAATTGCGGTCCTGCGACAGCTAGAGCTGCATGACCAACCCAGTGTTTGTCGGTGGCCTCTGTCGCATTTCCTGGCAAACGACGGGATCAACTTATAAGTTGTCGCAGTGTCGAACTTTATTAACGATGAACTTTATTAACGACGAACTTGTCGAAACTAGAGACTTGTTGAAAGAGAAAACGCCGACCGTATATGAGCACGCAACTTGTTTAAAATCAATGTGCTTCTATACATACATAGTGCCTATTTTTTATTGTGAATAAATTGAAGTATCAAATATAAACATTATATTTAACGGCTCCATAAATAGTCCAACCTTAGCAGTAATAAACAAGAAGCAACTAACAAGAGATTAGTGATTTTCCTCAATTCTAATATCAATTCCAATGTTAAAATCAATAAACAGTGAAATGGGAACCACAGCATCGATTTTCAAAACTAAGGCATAAGCGCGGCATATCTTCATTAATATATTCATATTTCACGTATATTTTAATTCAGTATTTAACTAAGTATTTTCTTTCTAAGTATTTCTTTCTTTCCGCGGCAGATTCTCAATGCACGATCGGATTTGAATTTCAATGGATCTCTTAATCAGGTTCAAGTCTTTTCTCTTAATATTTCCTCAGTAATCAGTTCACTTAGAAAAATGTTTCTCGTTCAATATATTTCCTTTCAATAGCTTTTCCAAACAATGAGTGGAAACCTTGTGAGTTCAGAAATCAGATTAAAAGTTTTTTCAGGGGTATCGTTATCAAGATTAAACCTAGTAGAATAGACAGCATATGAGCTTTATCTATTTTAAACAAGCTTTAAACGTAAGAGCTGCAAGTAAATAATATAATATTATAATATTAAGTAATCACAACACTCGGAGTTCAAGCATCTTTCGGCGCATGGACAAACCTTAAACGTTGTTTCAGTTTCAGCGAAAAATAATCAGCACAAGTTTTTTTAGCAGCAGCGCTGTACAAAGAAGTTGAAAAAGCCTTGTTTCATCCGCTCACTTCACGCCCCGGCTGTTCGCCTTTAAAAGCTGTCTCGCCTCACGCAGCTGCTTGCCTACAGGCGATAATGCCACTCATCCCTCGAGTGCCGGCATGAGCAAATGTCTAGAGTTGAAGACTCTCTTCAATACATGAGACTAGTGAGGCTCACTTGTGTTTCAAAATGTACAGAAACACAGGTGTATACAGCTGCTCAGGCTCGCATCCGAATAATAATACTCAGCTGGTATCTCGCTGTATTGTGCGCCTGACGTTCACAGATGAACGGAGTTCTGACGTTCATAGATGTATCGATGACGGCCATTGAAACTCTATTTTTTAGGCTACTGATGCTCTATATATTGGATGGAAATTCCAGCGACTGAAGATATACTATGTAAAACTTTGCTGTTGCTCAATGATGTTGCACTGTTTATGCTTTACTAAGCTAATGCTCGAAGGTATTCTTTTGTGGCTCAGCCGACAATTTGAAGTGCTGAATTGGCATGAACCAATGAGCCTGCGCTACAAACTCGTACTTGAATAGAATCCTACTAAACCCCTACCAAATATTTCAAATATTTTCCTAGTGCTACCTAAGACTACTTACTTTGCAACGAATTAATATTTTTATTCATTTAGAGGATAGTTCTTTAATCGCACATAATTGAGAGCTTGAGTTCCGTTCAAATTTTCGATGAGAAACTGGGACAAATTTCATGTTCAAATGCCAAATTTGTGTCGGGTTCTAGATTTTTGTGGCGTCATGCTGAATTTATAACGGCAACATGGATAAATATAGTAGAATAAAGATAATAAAGTTACTCCTGCTTGTGCATTTTGCTTCCGGAGCGTCGAAAGTTGGCCCTGAAATATGAAAAGTTTTGTTTGAATTTTGAGTTTTTCTTGTCCAAAATATCCCGCAACGTTCCTCAACGCCAAGTTTGAGGCCGAAGAATTTCAAAAATGTCTACCGACCATAAATTATGAGCAGCAATAATAACAACTTCAAACTCAAGTTTTGGGTTATGAGAGATAACAAGAATACACATGATGAGTAATGAATTATATTTGCAATAATTAACCTGTGTGTACTGTAGAAATTATTATCGCGGATAATCAATTTTAAAATACGATTTACGAATAAACGTGTACATTTTTAATGCATTAATAAATTTGATATACTGAGTTAGTCGCACAAATAAAGTGTGTTCATTGAAATAAAATTCAGATTAAAGAGAAACTTTTATTCGAACACTTGAATTACAAGCTTTAAAACACCTTGACCATATTACTAATGTCTCACGGAGGAGATGAAATTGATAAAAATGATAATGTTTTCTTCTAAATAATTATAACTTTCTTAGCCTAATTAAAAACTTTTATGCCAGATTAAAAGATGTTCTCATTTAGATTGTATTCCCTGGAGGTAAAGGCACTTATATGGACATTCCGACTAGAGCTCTTCAGCTGACATCAAACCGTAAACGCTGCGCATTAAGAAATTTTTCCTCATTTGAAAAAGTTTACGGGGAACTTTTGGAATGGCCAGATATTCAGCGACAAGGGAGATCATTAACAAAATTGGGAACGTCATTATAAAAAGTAGCTGCTTTCTAAGCCTCCTTATGGCCATCTAGTCCTGGACATTTCTGACACTAAAAGTGTCGAATTCGTCTCAAATGCAGCGCGCTCTATTTTCGAGCTGAGCAGGCATATGATGGTTGCTGTTCTCTTTTTTATAGAACTAATAACTAGTTGATAAACTGACAGTACTGTATTATTTTCTTCATTTTATAAAATAGTCGATATCGAAATAGCAACTATATTATGTGTTACAGAAATATTATGAATGATTTCCCGATGGGAATTAAGAATTTTACATAATTACGTTCACCTCAAAGAATACTTATTTAGAGTCAAATTACTCAAACCTATTTGGAAGTATATAAAATTATGTTTAATAAGTGAAGTGTAGTTTGCAATGCATTTATTTGGATCTTTTAATTTTAAAAAGCTAAATCGATTCTTAATTTGAACAAGTGTTATTTACTTTTAATTTAAAAATAATCCTCGTAGCACTCGTGCTCCTTCAAGAATTTATTTTTCTTCGGAGGCTAGCAAATTTTTTTCAAAGTTCGGAATAAATTGAGTCTTCGATGTAAGCAATTTTCCGTGAGCTGGCAAGGCAGTTTTTGAAAAATAGGAGCGCCGGCAAGGATAGCATGGGCTAGGAGCTTGTTTGAAGATAATCGGCTATGAAGCCAATTTAGGTTCAGTATATCATCTCTTCCTTCCCAATTTTCCGTCATCTTCTCGCAGCAACATTGATGAGGTTCGCTTCGCATCTACTGATCGATTTGGATTTTCTAAAGTTATAAGAATGTAGAAGCAGTCACTATTGACAACATAAACGCAAGCTTCAATGATAGTAATTATTGTAATCGTTGTATATATAAGTCGTGAAATCCCAAAATAGAATAGTTATTTCAAAAGCAGTTTAATTTTAATTTCATTACGGGAAACTTTTGCCATCTTAAAATTGAATATACCTTGTTGAAATATTATTTGAGACATTTTGTTTATTTAAATGTACATCCCGTAGGCTCTACGATACTCAAAAATAAAACAATGTATACAAATTTCAAAATTTATCCCAAATAGGTCATTCAGTGGCATGACCCTAATTTTAGCGAGACAAATACTGTATCATTTTTGTCAGAATTACTTGTATTGTCTCTGCTTCGCTGACAAAAATGCGCCCAAGTTCAAATCGCAGATACTGATCAACTTCAAAGGCAGGGGAAAAGTTTAAGCCGGAAGTTTAATGCGCTCAGAAAGTCTCATTGTAAAGTCTACATAAAAGATGGGCCGCTCAGGCGGTGAAACCGCGAACTGCCGAGGTGACGTGAGACTTAAAGCGACGCGCCACGGACGAGGGGCGCTACAGCGAGCCTGCTGGGAATGCTACAAAGACGTAACTCTAAGTACATGTCCATGAAACCTCATGACAGGGTTTTATTTTTACAACGCCTTGCTTCAGAGCAGCTGCTATTGCCCGGTTAGAAAAAACTCATTATTTTTATTTAGAAAACGGACCTGTATGGTAGCGTATGAACTGGTAATGAAGTATCTGCAATCAGATCAAATTTAGATGATACTTATAATGTATTTCTTTTTTAGTTGCGATATCAGAAGAATATTATTCTCCAGCCATCGAAAATATCACATTAATTAATGAGAGAAGTCTCTCAGAGTTTCATCTATCGCTCGTCGCACGAGCGGAACCGGGAGCTACAGGACGTTATCGACGCTGAAGAAGCGGTCTCCTCTCCTCACCACCACAGCCGTAATCAATCAGTCAAGGGCTGTCATGTTGAACGAGCCGCCTGGTATCGTCGCGCCACCTCGCCTCGCTTCGTCGGGTAATATTTTTTCGCTTTGCTTTTCTTCTGCAGCTGCCCTACTCGACCCTTCGCGGTTTTACTACGCCGCTCAACTGTATAGCCATTTGCATCATCGCTTCGCTCAAGGCCTCTTCGCATTATCGTGTTTACCGAAACACTTCCCTGCCTCCTGCCCCCGACACCACGTACAGCTCATCTGGTGCCACCCCTTTACTGTTCAGTCCCTCCGTTCTACTCCTTTACAGCTTCGTCCCTCAATCCAATCCCATTACTACTTCGTCCTCCCATCTATTCCCTTTACTATTTCGTCCTCCCACCCAACCTCTTTACTACTTCGTTCCTCCATCCGGTCCCTTTACCCCTTTACTACTTCGTCCTCCCGTCCAACACCTTTACTATTTCATCCTTCCATCCAACCCCTCTACTACTTCATCCTCCCTTCCAACCCCTTTACTACTTGGTCCTTCCATCCAACCCCTTTACTACTTCGTCCTCCCATCCAACCCCTTTACTACTTCGTCCTTCCATCCAACCCCTTTACTACTTCGTCCTCCCATCCAACCCCTTTACTACTTCGTCCTCCCGTCCAACCCCCTTACTACTTCGTCGTCCCGTCCAACCCCTTTACTGGCTACGTCCCCTTGGAGTCGCAACTCCCACTTTGTTCCCGCCTCACCCTCGTGACCCCGCAATATCTCAGGCTCGTCTCGCTGCCTCTCCAGTGTCAGAGAGGCAGCAAGTTTGCCAATAAGATTCTTTGCATGCATTAATGAGCGTCCTGGGCTGACAAGCGATCTGTTGAGTAGATGGCGGCAGGTCCGAGCATCTTTGTATGCAAGCTTCTTACAGCAGCCGCGGACGATCTCACGTTTGACTCAGACTTTACAGTGGCGCTCGCAGTTACCGTGGGCAAATTTGCGCAAATATTTATACGTAATTTGAATATTTAACTAAAATGTCGTCAGCATCTTTGTATGCAAGCTTCTTACAGCAGCCGCGTACGATCTCAGACTTTATCAGTGGCGCTCGCAGTTACCGTGGAAAAATTTGCGCAAATATTTATACGTAATTTGAATATTTAACTGAAATATCGTCAGCATCTTTTGGTATCCATACTTTCTCTTCTTCTTGCATTTTTATTGAACTTTTTTGCTCAATAAAATGAATTATTTGAGAAACCATATGATCAACAAGTTGGAAGAGACATAATGATCCATATAAAAACTAAATGATGAATCCATACAACACATCGCAATTTTTAACATAGGGGTCAAATCTTCAGCGTGTACGGTATTAACTTATGCTGACTTTAGTTTAAAATAAGGTGAACGAAAGTTTTATCTACAAATCGTGAGTAACGCAAATAAATATTTCTGATAAATGAGACGAGGTTCCTGTTGATAATCAAGAACATTTCAGAAATAGCATCAATCAACTCACGTACGTGTTGATTGTTGGAGGCTGTATGATTGCACTGGCTTTTCGGAAAAGGCGCGATTAGATTTCTAGTTCCCTTCACGGGACAGATATGAAACCTCTAGCAAAAACTAATTGGATTTTCTGGCTTCTTGCCTTTGATGGGAGCGACGCTACGGCACAGCTCGAGCCGATTGGATTTTTCCACCATTGACGAAACTTGCAACCGTATGAGATGAACGTAACATTTTCCAAAACGACAAAAAATTAATATTTATATAAAGACATTATTGTGTTCTTAAAAATAGAAAATATTTTTCTTGCTGACCAAAATAGTTACGTACAATAAAATAAATAAGCTATCAAGTGATTCGTAACAGCACAAATAAATTTTTTTACTTGGTTATGATCAGACAAATAGAGCTGGAAAGCAGACCAAAATATAACTATTCAGTCATATTGTTGCTGAAATTTCTTTGCTAAACAATATCACATATGTATATGCTATGGAAATAAACATTCTAGCACTACATAATCAGTGTGTAAGTAAAAATTTCCGCAATAGGCACCAACATCACGCACCAGCGGCGTTCAGTAACACCACACACTAGCGCTACTCTCCAGCAAAACATCATCACCAGCACCACACACCAACACCACACACCAGCACCACACACCAGCACCACACACCAAGAGTGAGCAGTGAGAGCAGGGTTAGGAGTGAGCAGTGAGAGCAGGGTTAGCAATTAGCAGCGCTATGCCTGTGAATTCTCAATTTTTTGCTGATTCGAACGCATCTGCAATAGCAGTTCGTTCCCACTCCGTAAATGCGGACGCTAATGTGAGGGTAACAAACTCAGTCAGCGAATATCAATTAATATGAAGACCGGTAAAGTTAAACGAAAATAGCAAAAATGCCGCAAACATTAGTTATTTTTTGTTCGTAAGGGATTTGGCTGTTGTGAATAAAAAATGGAATACTGAAAAAAAAACTAGCAACAAAGTTTCCTATTCGATTTTTCTCAACTTACACTCAGTTTTCACACTTATTTTTCAAAATTTGAAGCTGTTTCAGAGCATGTTTTCCGCTGTATTCCAAGTCGTATGCTTTTTCCAAGTGGGGAATACAAGCCGTTTTCCAAGAAAAGTTTCACGCTTTGTTCAGAGTTTTATGCTGTTTTACACGTCAAATCTATCACTATTTCCAAAGACGTTAGCAGTTTCCAAGCATATTTTTAAGCTATTTTCTGGGTCCTGCAACTTTTTTCATGAAATCAAACAACGAATTTAGTGGCATATTTTCAACAAATTCAACTCAAACAAATAATACATGGCCTGCTAGCGTTGTACGTCCATTGCTACTATACACAAGCAAATCATCTTAAGCATGAAAATGTAACTAAAAATTTTACTTCTAGATTCGAAAAGGCAAGTCGAGATGGCCATTTCTTTGAGCCATTAGCGCATTCGGACTGTGCAGTCTCGAGGGAAAAAATCAATACCCCTTAATTAGGAACGCCTTTCATCGTGTTAAAAAATTTTGCTTAGGAATGCTGAAGGAAACGAGGCGAGATACGAAATTTAGTTCTTTGGAGTGAAATTTATTTTGCAGCCTCAAATTAGCATAAAATATACTTGTTTTTTTTTTTAATGGTTTCATTTAATGAAAAAATTCTAGAATATAACTAAAGATTCTGAACTCACTTTGCCTTGCATTTTTTTAAATGAATAAATGTGAAACAGCTACAAAAGCTCAACACCTGGAAAATGGCATTCGTTCCTTTTATAACGACACTAATCATAGCAGAATTAATAAAATGTATCTCGAATTCGTCAAGACTTTAGGCATCAAGCTATGCACGTGCGGATGGAGAACGTCAACAGCTAATATAATAGTAAATTGATAGTCTGCACTTGTATAAATGATTGAACCAAAAAATATATAGTGATCAGAATTGTTGCAATCAGAAGTGCAAAATTATCAACAAATTACAATTTTATCTATGATTGAAAAAAAAACAGTCATAAATTCACAGGAATAGTTCAACTAAAATTAGATTTAATATATAATAAGCTATTATAATTTTCAATACGTATGAGTAATGCGTGTTGCTAAATAATATGTACTGCGCGCACAGTATAAATTTTTATTTCAGTGTGACCCGTGACTCCTAGCAGAAAATGTAAAAAATAACAAAGAAAATCATTTCATCAGCAAGGTAAACTGAAAAAAATAGTCATATCGCTCCAATCTTCATATACTAAGGTAACCTGGGGACAGAATAATTTGTCGAAATTAATTACAGAAATGTATGCTTCAACCGTTTCAAATCTAGGCGTAGGATATGAAGCAAATCAGGAATGTCTCAGTGTCTATATTGGAAATAAAATTCTTCAGTGCCTTTTGACGGCTTTCATTTTCATAGTGTTAAAAGCATTAGAAACGTCCGTATTCCTTTTAGGCCGACTATAGAGTAGAAGTTTTCTTGTATTCGCGAAGTCGTTTATTAGTTGTCTGTCAGCTGATGTATGTATATGCATGATCCCCCAGTAATTTGGTAAGATATGCTCGATTAGTTTAAGGACTAGCTAAAACTGTGAATATTGTCATAATATTTAGATTTGTCGATTTATTTCTTATGCTATGTTTTTGTACTGATTTCAGAAACCGGTCAAAAATCACCTACGAAATCCGTGTATTCATTACTGTCCTCTACGACCTTAATTAAAGACCTACAAGGAGAGTCTTTACACATAGTTTAAGAATTGTACTGGAAATTTTGTTCAATTCCTTAATTAGAATTAATTTTTTCACGATTTGTTACATTTACGGAACATATTTCTGACGGACAGAAAGTAAAGTATTCGGATTTTTGTCTTGTATGATTCATAGGAGAGTTCCCAAGATAGGAACTCTCTATTATAATTAAGATTCATGATCCGCAAGTGGATTATATTACTTCGACACGGACTGTGAAATCAATTCAAATTAATTAATTCAAGAACACAAAGATTGATAAAAATATCCGTAATATGAACATGGAATGGGAAGAACTTCTATCAAATTAAGCGTGATCGACTCAATGCGGTTATCTGCGTAAGGCTTCTGCTTTCAGCTATCTGCTTTCAGCTGCGCACAGGAATTTGCGTTCGTCTCTCACAATAAATATAACGTAAAAACATTGACAAAAATGATTTGACTCTACCTGTACATCTGGTTGAGATACCGAACTTTTGATACCGAAAGCCAGGGAAATATGACACATTTATACGAAGATATTTAGGTAGACAGAATCAACGGCGTATTAGATAACCATAATTAATGTCAAGTTATACAGATTCTATTTGGCAACATGTGTGTGAGAGAGGATTGTTTATGGCAGGAAAATTAGTTTTGATTATTATTATTATTATTATTATTATTAAAAGCATTAGAAACGTCCGTATTCCTTTTAGGCCGACTATAGAGTAGAAGTTTTCTTGTATTCGCGAAGTCGTTTATTAGTTGTCTGTCAGCTGATGTATGTATATGCATGATCCCCCAGTAATTTGGTAAGATATGCTCGATTAGTTTAAGGACTAGCTAAAACTGTGAATATTGTCATAATATTTAGATTTGTCGATTTATTTCTTATGCTATGTTTTTGTACTGATTTCAGAAACCGGTCAAAAATCACCTACGAAATCCGTGTATTCATTACATAGTTTTTATGATTGTATATGAAATTGTTAGGCGAAAATAGCCTGCATGCCGAATTTCAGATCTCTAGAGCAATCAGAAGTGGGCTAATTTTCGTTGTCAATGTTAACAACAAACAAATCCACAACCAAACAAACGCGAAGCTAAGTTAAGAAAAAAATTGACATAAATGATTTGACTCAACCTCTGCATCATCGGCAAGCGCGGCAAGCGACTTTTGATACCGAAAGCCAGGGAAATATGACACATTTATACGAAGATATTTAGGTAGACAGAATCTACGGCGTATTAGATACCGTAACTGTAATTAATGTCAAGTTATACAGCTTCTATTTGGCAACATGTGTGTGAGAGAAAAATGTTTATGGCAGGAAAATTAGTTTTGATTGTTATTATTATTATTATTTTAAGATTTTCATTATGTTATTATTTCATTATTTTATTTTCCTGTCAGAAATTAAAGAAATCAGAAACGATCAAATTTGACTTAACGAGGCTACCACATGAAATTTCAGAGATAGTGAAAAATTACAATTTTTATTTGAATTAATCTTTATCATATGTTTCTCGTTATATTTATAAGGATTTTCGAATCGTGATTACTTAT